TGTTACATATAAATGAAAGAATAAATATAAGTAACGGGTTCCGAGTCTATTGTTTGTTTTCATCTACCACGACACGAATCGTGCGAGCCGTGCGAGACAAATCCCAGAGGGCTCCTGTAAACTAAAATTGTGTATCGTGTAATTTTAGGGTAGTATTAGCTAAATATAGATAGACATTGCCTATGTACAATCGCAATTGCGAGATTGCGTTTACTACTTATTGGCAGTTCTAAGTAAAGTTTACGGTTTGAACAAATTTTCTTTTCGATAATTATTATGTCCTTATATTTAGTAAGTAATAATTCTATTAAAAATAACAATATAGTATACATTATCGCGTCGCACCGACAGCCGCAGTCATTTACAGATTACACTTCTAGTTTTTTTTTTAAATTACATCCTGTGTGTATCTTTTGAGAAGTATCTTCTGGTTCTGAAAAATAATATAAGATAATCATTTTTACTATTAATAACTGGCTAATAATTATCTGCCACTTTTCTTACATCACTATTCTATTTATCATATATACAAGTAATATACACAGTATGTTTTGCGCCTTCTTAATACAAGTAATATTAAAACCTAAACATCATTAATGTTATAGTAATGCGAATAGAAACTCGACTACCTCTAATTCATCACTGTGCGCTAATTCGCTCTGTCTCTGTTCCTCTCTGCTGTCCTCCTCCTCTCCTTTCCATCTATCCTCTTGCACAGTGGAATATAAATATATTTTTATATAAAATTTGTATAATCTAAATGAGAAGATCACTTTAAATATATCTTTCATATAATCACAAAAGATACAAATATTTGTAACTATACAAGCAGGAGGTCTTGGACGGTATCATTCTGGTAGTATCTTTTTATTTTTAGTTTTATTTTTTTTTTAATATACGGCTACATCCGATTCGCATTTCACAGGCGGCGAATCGGCTCATCGCTGGATTGTGTGCGAACGAAGTAATACAGAATTTACTTTCGCATGTTGAATCACCGTGAATTGTTGTGCAACCACTGACCTGAGTAAATAACAATATTAAGCGTGCGCCTGGTATATACACGTCATGTAGAAACGATGCGTGCAGAATTTATCCCGTGAACAAAATTTTGATTTTGCCTTCCCACGCGTTTCTTTGTTCTCGTATAAAATTTGATTGTATGCAAATACAAAAAATTCTTAAGGCCTTTACGAAAATATTGCTATTACAGCGCAATTTATTTTTGACTTTTCGATTGACGAGGTTCGCGTAAAAACCACTTCATCGTCTGAAACGAAAGGCCCGATCGTAAGACACGAGAAGAAAAAAAATTAAAATCAATCGATCGCGAAATACGCGCGCAATAGTAAATACAATTCAAACGCATCATGCAAAAGTGTAACTAAACAAAGCCAGTTGAGAATGTACACGCGTCAAAATATGAAAATAAATTCCATATATAGATAATTTCACTCTCCCTCCGATTTATCTCTTTTTTTTAATTTCTTCAAAATTATAAGAAAAAAAATGAAAAAAAAATGAAACTTCGCGTTAACGTCGTGCAAAATAGAAAATTATAATTCCACCGGAGAGATGTTAAAGAAATTTTCTGGACAGTACAATTTTTTATACGTAGTCGAATATATATATTATAAGCGTATTTTACTCTTTGCCCCTAAATATTCATGTTAAAATTTGTCCGCAACACGTGCGTGTCACTAATGTTTGCGGAATATTCTTACATGGCATATAAGACTCCAAACTGCATTCATTATCGCACGCGTTCAAACTTATTCGAAATATTATAACTATTATTCTCGCGGTGTTGTGTGCAATAGTCGAATATATGTTCCGCTTTATCTCGGTAAGTAAGGATATTCGATTATAAGAATTTGTAGTGCCGACTAATAATGCGAACGTCACGCATATTCTTTCGCTCCGAAATAATACTAATTATTATCGACATTTAAAATCATAATCATGAACGGTAAACTCGATACTGTTTTCCCTTTTCCTGTCTCCTTCTTCACTTCGCATTCGACGTCGGCAATTTTTATCCTGGGAGATATATCAGATTTCTTCACTCTTTTCCAATTTAATTTCCATGGTGAACTCTGATACCCCCTAATTAATTCACTTCCATCTGCTGCCACTAACTTTTTGAAAAAAAAGGAACACTATATGTACTATATCCATTAATAAGCAAGATGGCTCTACCAACAGATGAATGTCTCTTAACTAATTAAAACTTATTAAAACTTATTTACAAAAGTAGACACTGTACAATTATCGTTCTAGTCGCGTTGTAGGTCTATCATAGCCTTCGAGTGCGAGTAGACCGGCTTTCGCAAGTAAAGACTGTGTATTGCAAGGACAACCCCGAAACAAATAACTCAAGACGGCAAAACGTTCAAAACGGCAAAGCAATAACTTAATGAAACGCACTTTCAAAATCCAATGATCCTAAATGAACGTTCGCGATCGACTATTGGCTGTCGATTATCTCCCATTGATTCGCAGTGGCAACGTCTTTCGCTCGGACAGAAAACTCACTCAAGTGAATGCCACTACATTAAAAACTATTTCTGGAATACTTTCTTTTCCCTGAGGTGCGGCATAACGCGCTATTATCGAACACTAAAAACATGTCTCAACCGACACAAGTCGAGACATATTCTTAATAATAAGATAGCACTGCGCTATCTATGCAATAACATCTTCACAGCGAGTTTACTATTACGGTATCTTCCGTACTGTCACATTCTCCAAGTTGCCGCTTAAACCCTAATTCGTTCTTACCTCTATAGGAATGTTATAACTACAGTTATAACTTCTTTGTACCATTGATTAGATGAAAGCACTCGCGTGTCGCTAGGAAAATTAGAATTCCCTCACTACAAGTGTCCGCGTACAGTAGTTCGTAAACTAATTCCGAAAAATTAGTTCGTAAACTAATTCCGTAATTTCTAAACTAATTTCGTAAACTTATCCCCGCAATGTCATCAATGGGCCCAGAAAATCGGCGAATTTTGTGCAACCTGGTTGTGCACAGGCCTGAGAGAACGGCAAAGTATTACGTAGTTGCCTGTAATTCCTAGTAATTCGCGCGCAAGTACACTGTAACCATAGAATAATATTTGCAGCGAGGTGTTAAGGGGGGAAATCCAATTAGAACGAGGAAAAATAAGCTATTTTCAAGAATTTTTTTGTAGGAGAAAGAATTTTTCTATATTTTTCAAACTTAAACATTTATTTATATATGTTTTGGACTGTCCATACGTATTTTTTTTTCCAAAAATATTTAAAAATGGCGGACATATGAAGCATCCCATTTGGCAGGTACGCGTGCGAGTTGCTCAGCTGCTGGACAAATGGCGTCCGTGATATTGATCCTATAACAGGCAGCGAAAAAATTCTTATTATTTATACCCATAATTCGTAATTGAACCTAAAAAAATTGAAAAAAGTCAAAAATTTTGAATATGAAACGCTTATGAAAATAAATTTCCATTTTTTGACGT